AAGTGACGTCATGAACAGGCGATTACATCTGATTGGTTATAACACAAACCACGTGATAAAATATGCAAATTATCTCCTGTACCAGCCTGAATATAGACAAACCCAATTGACAACACGCCAGCTATATGGCACGTATAAATTGGCTAGCCACTGGTCAACGTGACCTGCACTGCCTTGCATCTATAAGCACTGCCAGATCTAGCAGATATGCAGCCGTATTATTATAGTTGGTGGGCATACACAGATTAATCCCAATGTGCACTTATAAGTTATAGATTGGTCATTGATGTTAAGAAATGTGTAAAAATGATGCCAAGGACAGGCCAACGAATTCGGAGCAGGAGCCACAGCAGTCAGAGGAGGACTGCTTGCTGGTATCTATGCCACTTGTTAGCATAGCTGGGTACACAGCATAGGCTGTACAGTACTTGGCATGGTTTTATGCTGTAGAACAATATTATTCAGTGGGCATGGTCGCTGATTTTACAATCCTTTGCGTATTTTCCCAATCGGGTGCACGTATAATGCAGGGTGATGCCCTATAACTAGGCGATCGGTGGCTTTTTCCGCTTGTCGTTGCTGTCTCGTGAGTGCCCGCGCGTGTGTTGCGGGAATCTTCAGTTTTATCTCGTCGTCTCTGGTTCGGTGTCTCTCGTCGGATAGGTGTGTTTCTGACCGGGATAAAGTTCTTATCTGCGACCTTGGGGTCATGGCTGTGCATAACAAGCATTCGGGCAACCTGGTTTTTGCACTGTGCTCTAGTGGTTTGCTGCACCGAGATGTTTGCAGTGGACGTGCGCGCAAAACGTGTGCGTGCCGAGCGGATACCATGCATCACGCTTACTCGCATTCGTCAGTCGTCGCTAGTACTTGCTGTGTCGGCGAGACGATTTGAAGCGGAGTGAAAATGCGATGGCTGCGAAGATGGACGAGATGTTTATCGCATCTATGTTGGACGTAGTGCATAAGAGGCACATCAGACACGGGCATGGTAGAAGTTCAGTGAAGACTCACGGCGTGCTCAGGCCAATGTGGTGCATGACCGGCAACTTCCCTCTCTATCGACGTAAGATTCGGCAGCGAATGTGTTTATTCTACGAAAACAGGGCACTTATAAATATATCGCGGATTCGAACTCACAGACGCGCGCACGTGAGCGAGCCGCATTCGCCGGCACCTGTTGTTGCGAGCGGCGGACAGTTGTTGATATTAAACGCGAGGCGGGATACAGAAAGCGAGATACTGATCTACGAGCGCGTGCGTGTGTGCGGGCGGGCGGCCCGAGAAATCCACGCTGCCAACCTTCTCGACATCTCCAGCGTGAGCGCGCGCCGCACGTCGCTCTGCATTTCCCTTCCCCTTCGCAGAGTAACAGTTCCCGCTTACGGCTACACGCACGCGCTTTCCGTCCGATAATCGCGTGCGTGAAAAAACAAACAAACAAGTGAAAGCCATCCGTCCGCCAATAATAATAACAACCGCGTGCGCAGGCGTGCGGTGGGCATCCCGTTCCGACTTCTCACGTTGTGTTCTCGCCGCAGGCAAAGCTATGAGCAGCAGCGGCGGAAGCAGCCCCGGCGTGAGTGCCAATCACGGTCAGCAGCAGCCTCCCCAGCTGCGCGTCCTGCAGCTAAACGACGGAGAGCACCGGCAGTCGGACGTCTTCCGCCTGCAGAAAGGTAGGTCTCCGCTGCGCACACTGCCCCTCCCCGACCACCGCAGATCTGACCAGACCAGATGCAGCTGTCGTGTGCATCCCTCCCCACGAGCCTGATGCAGCTGATGTGTGCATCCCTCCCCATGAGCCTGATGCAGCCATCATATGCATCCCTCCCCACGAGCCTGATGCAGCCATCCTGTGCATCCTTCCTCATGAGCCTGATGCAGCCGTCGGGTGCATCCCTCCCCACGAGCCTGATGCAGCCATCGTGTGCATCCTTCCCCACGATCCTGATGCAGCCATCGTGTGCATCCCTCCCCACGAGCCTGGTGCAGCCGTCGTGTGCATCCCTCCCCACGAGCCTGATGCAGCCGTCGTGTGCATCCCTCCCCACGAGCCTGATGCAGCCGTCCTGTGCATCCCTCCCCATGAGCCTGATGCAGCCGTCCTGTGCATCCCTCCCCATGAGCCTGATGCAGCCGTCGTATGCATCCCTCCCCATGAGCCTGATGCAGCCATCATATGCATCCCTCCCCATGAGCCTGGTGCAGCTGTCGTATGCATCCATACCCACGAGCCTGATGCAGCCATCATATGCATCCCTCCCCACGAGCCTGATGCAGCCGTCGTATGCATCCCTCCCCACGAGCCTGATGCAGCCGTCGTGTGCATCCCTCCCCATGAGCCTGGTGCAGCTGTCGTGTGCATCCCTCCCCACGAGCCTGATGCAGCTGTCGTATGCATCCCTCCCCACGAGCCTGATGCAGCTGTCGTGTGCATCCCTCCCCATGAGCCTGATGCAGCCGTCGTGTGCATCCCTCCCCATGAGCCTGATGCAGCCATCGTATGCATCCCTCCCCACAAGCCTGATGCAGCCGTCGTGTGCATCCCTCCCCATGAGCCTGATGCAGCTGATGTGTGCATCCCTCCCCACAAGCCTGATGCAGCCGTTGTATGTATCTCTCTCTACGAGCTTGATGCAGCCGTCCTGTGCATCCTTCCTCATGAGCCTGATGCAGCCCTTTGCTGTGCATCCTACCTAGCAAATATTTTATGAAGCCCTGTGACGAGCCTCCCTTCAGCAAAATTCTGATAAAGCCCTGTATTCTGCCTGTCGCAGCTGTGACATAAACGTCTATATACGACATGTATTATATTAATTCTGATAAAAAAGCGCGTGGCGCAGTACCTGACCGTTTTTAATTTTCCTACCCTTCCCGACAGAGCTGCGGTACCTAATGTCTACCATGTATGTATATATCATACATGACTGCTTCATGGAACTTCCCTTATGAGAAACCCGACGCGACAGTGAGACTAAATCTCTATTATTAATTAATATATTTCTTGGAATAAATACTTCAGATTTTATAAAAACATATAGGTGTTAGTTTGTTTCATGTTGAATCCATTTTATTTATTTGCCCACTTAGCAACAGTTTCGACAAATAATCTAGTTGTCAAAACTGTTGCTAAAAGGTTTTAAATAAATGGATTTGTCATAAAATAAATTTTCTGTTATGTCTGTAGATGCTTGTGGAATACATGACTATTTCTTTTACATGAGTTTCACTCCTTTCATGCTCGTACAGTGTACATTACGAGTTGTTAAAGACGTCTCGTGCATTTTAGCATTGATGTTGATGGTCGATTGCAGCCATGCAAAATAACGAATGCATTGATTCGGCGTGAAGTTTAATGATTGAGACAAATATATTCATGAAATTCATCCCGTAGTGCGTCTGTAGCGAACGTGTCTGATTTAACACGAAATTTGATGAGATGAGACAAAAAATAAAAACTAGTGATGAATGTGCTGCACTGCGGCGCGCTATGAGTCTCAACGTCTCTACCCCACCTTATCAGTCTGGAAGGACGGGTTACACTAACCCACTTGGCATAGACTTTACTCAGCAATACATTTTGTTTGTTTATTGATGATTAATCTCTGAGCCATATGTTCATATAATATCGAGTCGGGCGTATTACTCTCAGAGCGAGTTTCACTAACGTTCGTTCGCTATTTTTCCTTTGCTATTTTCAAAGTTGATCGGTAAATAGCGAAGAACACGTTCGTGCGTGTTTCACAAAGCTCCGTTCGCTAAAGTTATTCGTTATTTAGCGAACAACTTTAGCGACACCTCTGCAGGGTCTCGGTAAATTTAGCGAAGGACTTGCGGTGTATTTAAACCCTATAAAAACAATGCACCGCAAGAACCACCCTGCCCCTCGCATTCTCCCTCTCCATTTCCATCCCCCTCTCTCTC